CTGTTTTCCATACACTAAGTTCAGATATTCATTCATCAGCTGACAAGAAGAACTGGGAGTTTTTCTGTAATGCAATTGCTCAACTGTTCAATTTGATAGCAGCACCATCTTGGTAACAGAATGGCAATGGTCTGATTATTCAAATATTCATTTACAAAAATGTGTGGGAAACAGACAAGGTGTGCTGATATTAGTGAAAATAAACAGAGAGGTCTCATTAATTTAATTAAATTAAGATAAAAATAGAATTCATTAGGTGTGCTAAAAGTAGCCTATCTTTAGCCCTAACTGGTTTGGCTCAGTGGATAGGGCATCGGCCTGCGGAATGAAGGGTCCCGGGTTCGATTCCGGTCAGGGGCATGTGCTTTGGTTGTGGGCACATCCCTGGTGGGAGGTGTGCAGGAGGCAGCTGATTGATGTTTCTCTCTCATCGATGTTTCTAACTCTCTATCCTTCTCCCTTCCTCTCTGTAAAAAATCAATAAAATATATATTTTTAAAAAGTAGCCTATCTTTAGCCTCAATTGGATGCTCAATTTATTCAAATATATATATATATATATATATGTGTGTATATATATATATATATATATATATATATGTATGTCCTCCCACCCCTTAACCAAACCCAATACTTTCTGAAGTTTATTGTTTGATATCCATCCCTTTGATTTTTTGTTTTCATAAGTGTATTCTGTATCAAAGCAGGAAGTGACTTGTATCATAATAGAGATTCTTTTTTTTTTTTATTGATTTTTTTTTACAGAGAGGAAGGGAGAGAGATAGAGAGTTAGAAACATCGATGAGAGAGAAACATCGATCAGCTGCCTCCTGCACATCTCCTACTGGGGGTGTGCCCGCAACCCAGGTACATGCCCTTGACCGGAATCGAACCTGGGACCCCTCAGTCCGCAAGCCGACGCTCTATCCACTGAGCCAAACCGGTTTCGGCATAATAGAGATTCCTGAAGTCTTTTAAAGTCCCAAAAAACTTGAGGAGCAGCAATAGTCAACTGAGGACAAAACTCAAAGATTATATCCTGGCCTTGTTACTAAGTTATTGAGAGCACAGACATAGAGTCAGGCATATCTAGATCACCTAGCAATGTGTCTTCATCAAAGTTACTTAATCCTCCAAACCTCAGTTTATTAATCTGTAAAATGGGGATAATAATAGTACCTATCCCAGAGGGTGGCTACAAGATGCAAATGAGTGAATATGTTCAATATGCCTAGTCCAGTGCTTGGTACTTAGTCTGAGTGTATACTATAGAAGCTGTTCTCTAGGAGGGAAGGAGGATACCAGAAGAGCTGGAAGGAACTGAACTTTCCCTACTTCACAAATTGTCTAGGGCCTCACCAAAATCTGAACTCTTGATGTGGAAACACTTACAACTGCTGTTATTACTCCTGATCTACCCACTGGGTCATTCTGGCTTCTGCTGGGTGAGTGGGAGTGTGCTATTTATTCTAACCTAATGACTTCTTCCAAGTTAGAGAAGTTGGAAACCCTGACGGTTGTTTCACCCGTTACTTCTTTCATTTTACCACCTCTGCACTCAGGAAGGTGTGTCTCCTGTATTATGGGCGCATCAGCATTTTCAGTTGACTGAGGCTCCCAATTCTTCAAAGGGAAACTACTTAATTCTCTTGATGAAGATTTAAGCAATGACAGTGGCAACTAGAAGAGACTGTATAACAAAATATAGTGGAGTATCCCTGGTGGACTCTGTGTGATGGAACCTGGGTGCTACCACCTCCCAGGAAACAGTCGCCACCCTGGGCCTCCATGTTTGCTTCACCCTGACATGGTTGAGACTGCCCATTTCCATTGTGATCACATTCTTGCCTAAGGTTTTGAAATGGTTTATTAGAGATGCATGACGTTATTTATTACTGTTTAATATTTGTTGTTTATTATTATTACTCCCACTTACCCAACAATTTTGGGAAACTCTTGCACTTCTAAGATTACATGTAGATGTCAAATACTCTCAAGGAGTCAGTTAAACAAAGATGGAATCTGAAGGCAGAGAAGCAGAGAATGGCAACAAAGAACATGGGAGAAAATAAAAGAATGAGATAAAAGAAAAAGACTCAAAGCTATGATGTCAAAGTACCCAGCCCAGAGCCTAGAACATAGTGGGGAAGTGCTCAGTAGTTTAAAAGCATACAACTATTCTTGTCCCATTGGGCTGCCCTAGCCTGTTTGCTTGTGAAATAGCTTCCAGACAAAAGCAGTAGTTCTAAATATTTGAGTGAAGCTTTCTCCTCTTCATAGGCAACCCTTTCAAATGCATTATCAACCCTTTATCCACCGCCCACATATTCCCACTATACTAATCTGACCTCCACACCAACCTCCCCACTGTGGCGGCTCTCTTTCAAGATCATCAAATGAATTATCCAGTAGGTGCTTCCAGCCTCCACCGTGCTGGCCTCCCTGAAATATCTGATGTTGTTGACTGGTCTCTTCTCGAAACCTTCTTCCGTTCCTTCTTCTCCTTCACAGTTTCCCTTTCTGGTCTCCCTTTCTTTGTCCACTGCTTTCAGTTATTGAGCTCAAAGACCTGTCCTTGGCTTTAACTACCACTTACATATAAACAGCTTTCATGTTTTTCTTCTCGTTTCTGAGCTATCCTTTGAGCATCAAACCCAAATAGCCAAGTGTATGTTGGGCCTCTCCACTTGGGTATCCCACAGGCACCTCAAATTCAACATGCACAAAACTGAATTATCTTACACCCTCTTCTCCCCACATTGTCTTATAACCACTCAAACCAAAACCCTGGATGTCATCTCAGATTTGTCATTTTCCTTTAACTCCTAACCCTACCCCACCCTCTACTACATGTTCTCCAAATCGTGGGAATTCTATGTTTCAAATAGCTATGTCTCTAATACTTTCACACGTTCACTGGCTTAGTTGCAACTCTCACAACTTTCTTGAATTATTTTTAATAGCCTCCCAACTAGTTTTCCTGCCTCTTATCTTGCCACCTTCAGACCCATTTTCCTCTCAGATACACAAGTGACCTTTCTAAAATGAAAGTCTAGCCCTGACCGGTTTGGCTCAGTGGATAGAGCGTTGGCCTGCGGACTGAGAGGTCCTGGGTTCGGTTCCTGTCAAGGGCATGTGCCTTGGTTGTGGGCACATCCCCAGTGGGAGGTGTGCAGGAGGCGGCTGATCGATGTTTCTCTCTCATCGATATTTCTGGCTCTGTATCCCTCTCCCTTCCTCTCTGTAGGAAATCAATAAAATATATTTTAAAAATAAAATAAAATGAAAGTCTAAGTCACCATCTTACCTGAAGTCTAGCCAGTGGCTCCCCTTTGCTTGCTTATGTAGTAGAATAAAAACCCCTTTGCAGCCTGCCCAGTGTGGTTCAGTGGTTGAGCATCAACCCATAAACCAAGAGGTCACAGTTCAATTGATTCCAGGTCAGGGCACATGCCCAGGTTGCAGGTTACATCCCCAGTATGGGGCATGCGGGAGGAGCCGATCAATGACTTTCTCTCATCATTGATGTTTCTATCTCTCTCTCCCTCTCCCTTCCTCTCTCTGAAATCAATAAAAACATTAAAAAAAAAAACAACCTCTTTGCAGAGGTTTTAACATGGCTAATAACCCTTTGCAAAAAGCCTACCAGAGGCTTTTTGACCTGGTTCCCATATTTCATCTCTACTCTTCCCTTTCCCAACTTATACCCTGACCATCAAAATTCTAGATATTCCCCCAAAGCATCATACGGTTCTATGTATTTGCAAATGTGGAGATATGTATATATATATATATATATATATATATATATATATATATATTGCATTTGCTTCTCATTCCCACCTTGACAAATGCCTATTTATTCACAAAGGCCTAGTCCAAGCATTATCTCTTAATCTTCTCTAATATTACCACTCCTCCTCTTTAGAGAGGTGACTACTTTCTCTGATCTGCCACAGTATATCTCTGTTAGGTATCTACCACACTTATTTACATGTCTGCCTCTCTGCTAGACTGAAACTCCTTAACGTTGGGGATGGTGTCTTATTAGTCTTTACCCTCACCCCTGTACACAAGGCCTGCCATAAAATAGGCAGTTGTTCTATGTGTAAGAGAACTCAGCACCTCCTTACCCTTCAAGTCAACCGGAATTGAAAACCCAAGAAGCCACCCTTGACAATGTCAGTTTCAGGCTCAGATGCTCCATCTGGGCAGCTCACTCTGGGAGCCCTTCACCAGTTCAGCAAGCATCCCACCTGCCATGAAGTGTGCTGGTAGGGTGGCCTTTACCTCCTTGCACCCCCAGCCCACACCTTACAGATTGAGCATCTTAAAGGTCATGTTCAGGGACGGTCTTTATCAATGAAAACATCAGTAGAGAGAAAAATTCCACTCGGAGATATGGTGAGACATGTTGGTTTCAAAACATTGCAGATCGTTAAATGAGTAATGTTAATGTGATCTCAAAATAGTAAACACACCCCCACATGGAGAATGATATTAGTTGCATTATCTGGAAAGGAAAAAGAAAGACTATTTGGTTGCAAGAACTATGAAGAGATGTCTTGTATGGGTAATTCAAGTTCTTGTAGAGCAGGTAAGTTGCATTTTTCTAATTGCCTCCCCCCTCCCACCCCTCCGTATGTGTACACACATTCCCAAATCAAATCTGTTCTTGGGGTGAGGCCTGTGATTCAGGGGAAATGGAGGACTGGGGGAGGGGAGGAGCACACACATAGAGGAAGAAAACTCTTATTGGGAAAGAGTTTCTTAAGAATTGTGAATGTCCTGCACAGGAAGTAACACTTCATCACACGGCTGATAATCAGCCTAGGCTTGTCAGGGATTGGTTTTTCCCTCCTGTGGTGTGAGGATGGCCCCATGCAAGCCTGAACACCTTCCCGGCCAGCCTGATAGTCATTTGAACGTATCCAGTACCCATCATCCAAAAAGTGTGAGTGCACTGGTCCCGTTACACGGAAGTCATGTGGGACACTCACCATGTCAGGCTGGGGCAGTGGGAGGGATTCTTCTGCAGTTTCAAAGGTTTCCATGGAGCCAGACCAATGCCGTCCTCCAAACAGCCTTTTCTACTAAAGCAGCTAGCTCACGGCCTGCACCTGTATCGAGTAAAACAAAATGCACTTTTTTCACCCACCAGCTCACTTGCCTTTGCCCCTTCTCTCTCTGATGCCCAGCTCTTCTTCCAGAATCCAATATCTTTAGAGCCGCTTACCTTTAAAGAAAACAATCCAATCAGCTAATTCACTCCAAAGAATTGGCAACTCAATATGACTAGTGTTTGCATTTAGAAAAGTGATAAGTACTTTACCCAAAGGAATGATTCTTTATTGGTGAAGTTTCTGGCCCTTTCATGGGAGCTGGTGGGATGTTACAGTGCCTCTCAAGTCCTACCACATGGTGGCCACCAATGATGAGCGCACCTAAGTATGACCCTCATGCCAGGGTTATACTTCATTCCCTGACAAGAAGCCGGTAGCTTCCTTCATGGTTATCAAGTTGCTTTTATGCAGTGCCTGTTTTGGCTTTTTCCCCCCAGAAATATTAGGCAGAATAAGTTAAATCCCAAAGGTCCTTACCTCTTGACCATAGATCCTTAATATACTGCCACTCTACCCTGGACTTCTTTGATAAAGAGGACACAGACTGAGGAGGGGCAGGGAGGTTGTCATTACATGAGCCCTTAAGTGTGTCCATTTTTAAGGCTCAAGTCATATGTTAATCTTACAACAGATACATGAAGGTCCTCATCCATTTATTCAATAATCACACGTTAAGCTTCCACTGTGTTCCCACAATTGTTTCAGAGATACCTCAAAGAGCAAAATCAAAGTCGCTGCCCTAGCAGAGAAATCAGTTTAAACTATTTCCATCTGTCTCTAGAAAGCAGAACTGGGACAAATGGGTAGGAGTGTCAGGGAAGCAGAGTTCTGTTTCACATAACATACGACCAAATATGGAAGGGTAGTGAGCTCCATGTTACTGGAGGGGCCGGAGAAGAAGCTGCTTGACTGCTTGTTGCAGAGAGACTCATGCTGGCAGCTGGACTAGATCGGCTGTCTTCAACTGTTTCTTTCAGCAGCATGGATCTTTTCCCAAATAAAATCTTATCTTTAGCTCCAATATATTAGAAAGCAGAGTCACTATGATTGAAGGGGAAATATGGCTCTAGAGGACCCCCTGAATGTCCCTCTGTGCACTAAATTCTAGGTATCCACAAGCTACTAACTGAGATGATCACGGAGCTCCTGGCCTGCCCCAGTGCCACGGGGATCTGTGAGTCCAAGTAGAGTGGCATGGGCTTCTCACCACCGTCTTTCCCTCCCTCTTCCCCACTTGTACCTGTTCCTAGGAGAGAGTCTGGTTAAGCCAGGGGCTCTGGAATTTAATGAAACACTTAATGAATGCTCTCTGAGAATGTCAATATGAGTCCAGGACATTGCTTCATTTGAGTAGACCTGAGAATAACAGAATGGCTCCTCCAGTTCCAAAGTGGGCACATTGCCTGGGATCCTGGACCTTGAAGAAAAGCCAAAGAGCTTAAAAAGATGGAAAGAACCTTGGGGAAAGCGGGCAGAAGACCAGAGGGAGACTCACGGGCCACTCACTGACATGTAAGAACGCATTTGTACCGTTCTCTGGTGACCACACATATTTATTAGCCTCTAATGTAAGGTTTACTTTCTAGCAATGACTCTATCATCACACCCTCTCAGATACAACAGGTATGACTAAGGGGCCGAGCGTTATTCTGCAATCTGGAACAACAGCAGCTCAAAGGACTCCAGGCTGGCAGCTATTCACTGGCTGGGACTGGTGATGGGATGGCGGAGAGGGGAATGTGGTACCTTGAATCAGAGCTTGGAGTCTTTTCAAGCATAGAGCTACCGTGCAGAGCCTCGAGTTTGCCCAATCATAACCTTATCATCTTCCCAGCTAGAATCCTCCTGAAGGTTCATCAAACTCGAGTCACATCTTCTAGCTTCAGAGTCTACAAAGCTGTGAGCTAAAGTGAATGAGTCAGCTGAGCTGTCCTTAAACCCATTTTTTTTCTCCCAAAGCGTGTAATGTACAGTAAACATTACTTGGGGGAGATGTTAATAGATGTTACTAGAATTCTGAAAACTTTGGGAAACTCTGCATCAAAGAAAAATAAGCAAGTTTCTTTACTGCAGAACTTTTCACAACCTTGAAAATGCTAATGTGACTCTCCAAGAAGGGAATATAGTATAGTTTTTCCTACTTTTATTTTAGTTCTGAATAGATTTTCTCACAGAGCACTGAAACAGATTTTGGAAAATCTGTAAAAAGCCAAATAATATGAATTTAGTTTAAATTTTCATGAAAGTAAGGCGGTATTTCCAAAGTACACCAATTTCTTGTCCATCATCTTGAGAAATAATAATGCAGGCACATAGATGAATTGTCTGCTTCAAATATCAAAACAAACCATTTTATCTGAAATCTTTCTAAGGTGTATTACACACATTTCTATTTTTGATTATGGAAAATGAGACAATTCTGAGTATAAAAGTAAACATATGCTTATTTGTAAAAGCTTGAGAATTTGGAAAAGAAAAAAATAAGAGTTACAAACCCATAATTCTCTTAACATTTTATGAAATTTCTCTCATCTTGTTCTGCATAAAATGGTTGCTGAAATGTAAAAATAAATGTCATAATTCACTTAATATTTTCTATATCATTAAAAATTCTTTGAAAATATATTTCCATGCCTCTATTATAGTTTGTAATTTGTTTTGTGTGAACTTGGTTAAGGTAATATTGACTGTCATATTTGTGACAAATATTTTTCACAACTTGCTATTTACCTTTTAATTTGGTTTATGATTTTTAATATGTAAATATTAACATCTATTTAAATTAAAATACAGATCTTTTTCATTTTTTGTTTCTTCCTTTGCTTTCCTGCTTAGAGAATCCTTTCTCATTCAGAAGTCAGATGAATATTCATTAGATTTTCTCTGGATGTTTCATGGTTTCGTTTTTTAAGCCCTTTCTTTAAATTATGGTAAGCTGTTTGCTTTTTAAACTAAATAAAGCATTTCTTAATGAAATTGGGATCACGATTTTGACCAGTGTTTAAAATTATCTGCCATCAAACCAAATGCCCCAGGAGCCACTGCAGTGAGTAGGGAGAATTTTCCTCATTCTACATGACCTCAGACTCCTGTGATTTGCTATCCCTGTGGCTGATTTTTGGTTTTAATCTCTTCTTTTGACGTTGGCTCCCAGCTCTCATTTCCTGTTACAGACAGTTGTCTACCACTCACAATGCTCCCAACTTTTGACAGCTCATAAACCAAATAACCATATTTGCATTACTATGAACTAAGGATATATATAGCATGAGTGTAGAAGACAATAATGACCCCCAAAGATGATGTCCTAGCCCTGGAATTGATGATTATATAATGTTACATGCAAAGAGGAATTCAGGTTGCTGATTAACTGACCTTGAGATGTGGAGAATGTTCTGAGTTACTGGGTGGGCCCACTGTAATCACAGGAGCGTTAGCAGGAAAAGAGGGAAGCAGGAGAGTCAGTGTCAGAGTGATTCACTATGGGGAAGACTCGGCCAGCCATTGCTGACTTTGATGATGATGGCGGCCAGAAGCCAAGAAATTCAGACAGCAAGCAGCTTCTCTCTGAGAGCCACCAGAAAGAAATGCTGTCCTCCTGGCACTGTGATTTTAGTCCAGGGACACCCATTTCAAATTTCTGACCTCCCAAATTATAAGACAATAAATTTGTGTTGTTTGAAGCTACTAAGTCGGGGCTGATTTGTTCAGCAGTGATAGGAAACCGACACACTGGGCCTAGAAGTCTGTTCACCAGAGAAAAGTGCATGGGCTTTAGTGGTTGGCATTTGTGACTGCTATTTTTGGCTGCTTTGCAGTTTTATTTCTCCCACTCACCCTCCCAATTATTTCCATGATAATCTAACCTATATCAAGGTCAGAGCCTAAGTAGGGCATCATTATTTTACAAGAATTGGCCTTGACAAATTAAGTTGCAACCTTTGGGTCAAAGGGTGAAGTAAAAGGAAGCTACCGAGACAAAGTATTTTTAAAGTTTTTCAGAGAAATCACAAGGCTGGACCTTCTGCCCAGTCTGGAAGAAAGAATGTCCAACAGAGGGTCATGACCCCTGAACTGGGTGAGAGCATCACCATTTCATTCACATCTGCTCTAGGTCAGATAACCATCACTGTCTCTAGGTAAAAATCCCCTCTGTCTCTAAAAGACTGGGTCTCTGACGGATGCAAGATACAAATAATCCACTTAACAAAAGGAGTCTTCTGGGGTTAGGGGTGCTAAATGGGTCCTCTGTCACCAAGGGCCTTGAATCCAGACCAAGTCGTAAAGCATGAATAGTTCAATAAAACCTCTATAGTCCTCAAGACGAGTACACAAATAAGAATATGGGAGGATTAGAAAAGAAGGTGCCAGCATCTGCTCCTAAAATGCATGGGGACATATGCCCAGTAGCGTAAATGGAATCTGCACTTAGGTAATTTGTGTGATAGATGTAGAGGAAGAGTCTGAGGAGTACTCATAATCTCTGCTTCCCTGATGTCTACCAGTATCCTGCATATAGTAAGTGCTCAATAAATTCCTGCTATGAGCATGAAAAAAGGTATGGATTTAATAATCCTCTGCCATCTTTAAATCACTCTCTGGCTCTACTAACACAGCTATAACTTCTTAATAAAAGTTTTCAACCTTAACATAAAAGACGATTTCATCGGGCCCTGGCTCAAGTTAACTTAGGAAGCCAAAAAATCAATAAGGAAGTATTGATTAACATATTAGAATTCTTTTTTTCCAAAAGAAAAAAAAACTCTTTCTTTGAGTTACAAGGTTTGAGGTGATAGTTGAGGAAGAAAAGCAAAATGGTTAGAGTAACAGAGAATAATAATTACATCTGAATGTCATAATTTAATATGTAGGCAGTTAAAAAACAATGCACTCAATAGATGGAGGCTATCATATGACTCTTCAAAATTTTCATATGCTCTTCACTAATTAAAAAATAATACTCTGAAAAATAATAACTTATATCATAACTTATAATA